CGCAAAACGGTGGAGAAACGCATTCTGCTATTCTGAAGCACAATATATTGATATCCATTATTAATGGCACACATTCCGCGCACAGTCCCCGGGCACATTAGCGTGCGAATCGGCCTTAAATTAAGTATTATTTAGATCAAATGAATGTATACTCGAATACATTATACTCATTTTTCTCGAAAATATCGTCTTATAAAGCGAAATAAAATATAAATATATATTTTTAACAAATATTTCACGCCATCCAAATTAAGTTGTTATCTTCTTAACATTAACGCCTCCCTCCTTGCTCATCAGATCTTTCAGAATATCCTTTTTGGCTTCGAAGTAATCGCGGAACCAGAGAATGTGTTCCTTTTTCTCCTGTGCCGTCACATAGGGATTCTTGGAGAGACCTACGCACACAAGCTCCATGAAGTGACGAATGGGCCCCTTATTGGGGCACCAGCCCTCCAAATGCTGTTCCAGAAATATATGCTCCGAGAAGTCAACGTTTACCTCCTCTTGCATATCTTGTTCGTTGTCAATGGGAAAACGCCAAACTTTTCCTTGATCCGTCCATTGGATCATCTGCTCAAAATAGTTTGCCGGTGGATGCGCTGCATGCAGTTTCAGATCGCGATCGTTTAGCATAGACCACGTGGAAAGGATGTCCGGCGAATCCTGAAGTTTGACATCGCCCTTAGTGAAAATTCCCAAGGGCTCGCCACCATACAAATTGACGCTTCCCGAGAAGGTCTCCGCCTCGCGTTTAACATGTCGCTGCGGCCGACGCGAAGTGAAGTCCCCGCCTGAGGGCTTGGAGCGCGATGCCAAAGTGCGACGCACATACTCGCTACGGGTGGGCTCCGGCTGTTCTGGTTGTTGGCGACGATCGATTTTCATACCCACAATCAATTCGCTGAAAACGAAAAGAGTTTAATATAAATTCGACATGTTAAGCAGCCTTACCTTAAGTTTAGCTCTTTCTCTCCATCGGCAGCTGTTGCTGATGGATTTTTGTCTTCGCCTTGTGTTATATCTGAGCCGCCCTCGGCGCTGTGTCCCAGCAGCTTCGCCAACAATTCGGATTCCGTTTGCTTTTTTTCATTCTCATTTGTGCCCAACATGCTGGCAATATTCTTAGCTGCTGTAATAACATTACTTGTAGCAGTATCTTGTTTTAATGCCTCCCGGCGTTTGCGATTCGCATCTCCGGGACGAGGAAAGTCCGAGCTAGTCAGCTGATCTGTTTGCGTTTGCATTGTGCCCAATAAGCGATTCAAACGTTGCGCCGCAGTTTCTCCAGTTTTTTCTTCAGGCTTACGCTGCTTCCTCGTTCGTTTCTCATCGTCCGACGAGGATGAACCGTCATCGTCTTTTGACTGGGAAGAACTGGAGTAGCTAAGAATTCCCACGTTTTTGGCAGTCGGCAGGAATGCACTGTAAATACTAATGCGATTATAAACATTTTCAATAAGTTCTTTTCATTAGAGCATTACTTACCGTAGGCTAAGCTTTTGTGTATTGCGAAAAGCCAACATTTTTCGTAATTTCTTTGATAACAATATAAAAATACGATGCAACAACTTTTCCAGGCACCTTGCGCTCGCGTAACAATAATAAGCCGGAGCAACATGAAAAATATGGCAGCGCTGACACCGCTTACCGAACTTATCGATTACTTGTATCCGATATCGATATATTCCTTAGTATTCCCTTTTCTTTGGCAATAAAAGTTTTACAATGAATGTAAACAAACAACGTCATAAGTTGTAATCAATGCCGTTTTATTAATCTAAGTTAATTTACTCAAGATGAGTGGAAATGCCTTTAACTTTGAAATCAAGCTCAAGCGTGAAAACAAAGTGTATTATGAAAATGTGCGTAGGTAAACAACACCAAAATATTACTCAACTAATTTAATTTTATTTACCAGGAGATGCTCGTAGGCTGCGTGCAGTTTCAGTGTCCTACTGAAACCAAGCACGATGGAATTCTACTCACATTGGACGGTGTCGTAAATCTACAGCTAAGTAGCAAAACAGTTGGCCTCTTCGATGCCTTCTATAACTCGGTGAAGCCCATCACTTTGCTACAGAATAGTCTGGAGCTCTCTGCTCCGGGCAAACTAAGTGCCGGCAATTCCGAATTTCATTTTGAACTTCCTTTGGTTTGTAAAAAGGAGCCACGAAGACTATATGAAACATATCACGGCGTCTTTATCAGCATCAACTATCAGCTTAAATGCGATGTGAATGTGAAACGCAATTTCCTAGGCAAATCTTTGCAGAAAGTTCAACAATTCTGTATCCAATATAAGCCAGTTCCGCT